GTACCTGAAGCAGAGCCGCCAGCAGCGGCAGCAGGGTCCGCGGCGCTCCCACTATCCGGCACATGGAGGCGGAGAGGGGCCGAGCGAGGAGCCGGAGGCGGCGGCAGCAGCGGCAGCACCAACAGCGGCGCGGAGAGACGGCCCCAGGCAGTTTCAACCCCCTTCCCCTCCCCACCCCACCCCCTTCTCCGCTACTCTCCTCTCCCCGCCAATGGAGAGAGAGCTGATGACAAATAGCGGGACGCTGAGTCTGCGGAGTCGCACCAGGAGTAATAAAACAGACCAAGAGATCAAGGGGCCGGGGAGGAGGCGGGGGAGAAGGCGTGCGTGCGTGTGTGTGTGCGCGCGCGTGTGTGTGTGTGCGTATGTGTAGGCGGCCGCGGTGGCAGCGCAGGAGGTTCTGCTCTGGCCCAAAGCTCAGCAGAAGCCGGGAGAAATGCAGGCGGCAGCGGGGATCTTGGCCCGTGTAGGATGCGAAGGTGGAAGTGCAGCGGCTGGTGCTCCACTGGAGCTTCGCAACGCGAGGTTTCGGGCTCGAGGTTTTGCTTCCTCTGGGTCCCCTCTCCAGGGCCGCTCGCCACGACGAAGACGCCAGGGAGAGCGCCGCGGGGAGGGCGCTCCGTGTCTTGCGCGCTGCGCCCACAAAGGACAGCAGTCCTGCCGCCCGGCGTCTCTGCTGTGTGGGGGCTGAGGGCAGCTTCTTTGCTCCCCTTTCCGGTCCCCGGGCGAGTTGGAGACTGTTCTCTGGCCTCGGCCGCGCGGAGGTGAAGCCAGGGGTCGGGGTGGCCGCTACCGCCGCGGTTCTGTCCCGCGAAGCTGCTGCCGCGGCTAAACCTGCTGCCTGCGCGCCCGCACCCGCCCGCCGGTTCTCGCCCCGCGCTGCTCACTGCGCGCGCCGCCCCACCTCGCGCTGCCACCGCCTGCGCACCCCACTCGGCCTCTGCGAGCGCGACCAGGGCGAGCCACTGCCACTGCCCCCGCCGCTCTCCCCGCGCTCGCCGCACGCGCTGCCCGGCTGCGCGGCCCGCTCCCCTCTCCTATCCCCTCCCGCTGCTGCCGCCGCCCGCCCTCGCCCCCGCCTCTCTCCTTCACTGTGCCTCCCCGCCCGCGTGGTGGCCAATCGGAGGCGACTAAGCTGCAGTGGTAACCGGCCGGATCCACGGCAGCCGCCCGCCCCCGCCCTGCCTAAGCGCCCCGTTTTTTGCTGCAGCCCACGGGGGGTCGCCGGAGGGAAACCAAGGGTTCGCAGAGCTCCGCTCGGGCAGGTGGAGGGGCTGCGGGAAATAAAATAACTTGCGCATGAACTTGATTGGTGGCAGGTTTCTCTTTGGACCACGATGGGGATTCGGAGATTAGGAATCGGGAGGCATGCCTCCTTGGTAGCCGAACGCACACTTTTGTGTTTTGTCGCTCTTTCGAGATAGATTATTTTTCTAGGCCAGGGCAGACACAGCAAACTAGCGACGCAGGCAAAGCCTATCCTGTCCATTGTTGTCTGAGGCGCTTGCCTCCAGCCACCTGCGGGCCGGCAGGACGGAGGCCGCGGCTCCTCTCCGGTGCTGGTTCCTCTCTCATCTTTGCGGATGTACCGGAACAGCCCAAGTTTGTGTTCTTGTTTTGTTTTCTTTTGTTCCCTCTGGGAGTTTGAGAGTGCCTGTTATTTTATTTGAAGTCTCCGTTTTATATTTCTACTCATTAGTGGTACAGTTCACATTTTTTAGGAAACGATTTCAGGGACTTGACCTCCACCGGACACCCCTACCCCCACCCCCACAACAGTAACAACAACAGTGAAAAAAGAAAAGAAAAAGGAGGCAGGAAGCAACCTAAAAGCCAGAACTGGGCGTGAAAATAGGATTATCTAAAAAGATAAAATAACTGATGCAGAGTTCGCACCAAGTAAAGGATTTTAATTCCTTCTTTTAAGACATGAACTTGGAGTGGAACAAAAAGTGAGAGACTTTACAAGTTTGGGTTACAAGCATTTGTGGAATGGAGGGAGGGGTGAAGAGCAATTGATTTTAGCAAGGTAATTTTTTCCAGAACTTTTCTTTTCTCAGGTTTTACAGGTAAATAAAAATATCGGTTTTATCTAAGCGTTTCAACACTTTGGAGGTTATCAAACTCCCTTTCAATTAGTGAATATGACCTTTCCGCTTTGGGTAACTGAAGTATTAACATTATTCGAATCTAAGTTTCAGGGTCATTTAAGAACTTGCTGAATCTCTAAAAATCAAGCACTAATTTCTTTGACATAAGTGATGCGACTTTTAATAATGTACTATTTCTAGTTAGGCTTTTTAAAATGTAATATTTATAGGGACACTTATTCAATTTTAATTAAAACAATATTGTAGGCCATATCTTAATGAAACTCAAAAATATTTCCTGGCTTTTTTCTCGAAAGAATAAGGAAGGTCATGTTAATTTAAAGACCAAAGGCTCGGCTTTTTTTTTTTCTTTTTTCTCTTCTTTCCTGGATATTATTGTCACACTATTGCTAATCGGTATAAATCTTCTCCTTGCAATAGAATATAAGTTCCATTTTCAAGGAGTCATGCATAATAGTAAAACATTCAGTAGCAATATGGGGATATAGTTTGTTGTACTCCAAAGTGGGATTTATAGATCCTATCTCCATGCTTACGAATTAAATTGTGATCCTGGACCTGCGGCCTTACCATCCTCAGCACTCCCAGCATTAGTTATTGATGTTCATTGCCATTGTGATTAAACATTTAAACATCATTCCCCTAATAAAATAAACTCTTATTATAACTTCAAAATCTGCTTTAGAATGCTTGTTATTCAACTAATTCTCTGATTCCAATAATTTTTGATCATACAGGTAAGCACTTGCTTTTTTTTTTTGGTCTAGCTTACATGCCTCTCACTCTTCAGTGGGTGTAAATTGCTTTGGAATCTTGCCTGGGTTTAACCTGATCATATGGTCAGCTAAATTTTGCTAATCAACCCTTTATCAGAGGAAGGAGTAGCCTAGTCTAAAATCATGTTATTGGAGACTGTGCATTCATTTGATGTTAATAAAAGTAGATTTAGTGTTGACTTTGGCACCTAACACAACTTTACTTCCATTGCACCACACTTGATAATCTAATGGGGCCATTCATTTCTCCAGGCAAAAGGGGAGCAAACTCAGATTTTCAGCCTCTACTCAAAGCAGTGCCAATCTGAAGACTAACTTTCCATTAGCCTGCAGAAGTACAGGGCTGTTGGGGACTTGGCAGTGACCAAGAGAAACAATAGGTAGGTGGTGGAGGAAGAGAGGAGAAGACAAGAAAAATAATAATAACAAAAACTAAGACTGAGCTCATATACCTAAAATCAGCCTAATCCCTTATTTCTGACCCAGGGGCTGCTGCTGATTTACTACAAGAGGTGTACAAATGAATATGTGCACCAAGCATTGTGGAAAGATTGAATAAATGATGTCTCCTGCACATATAGCCAGTTTTCATAGGTATGTGATGCTATCATGATTCATTTCACACATTCATTTCAAAGTAAATCATAATACTTTGTTCTGGTGTGTCTTTTCAACAGGAGGTGCTAAATGTACAACTACATCATCTGTATAAAAGGGTCCTCACTTTGGAAACAAATGCCATAGAGTAGTAGTCTATCTGTAGCAGCACCCCTACACGTGCACACACACACACACACACATGCACACGCATGTCCTTTCAAAGCAGGAACCACACTTGTCTCTACTTCTGACACCCAGCTAAGAGTTCTTTCCAAATATTGAATGAAGACTCTCTTCCATATGTCCTCCTTCTTTCCTAACCTCTAGGACAAGCTAGGATTGTCCCTTCTCCCTTAGGAAGTATTCTTCATTTAGCAAGTTTCTCCCCAATCAGCATTAGTTCATTAAAGCTGATAGTCCCTGGGTAATACACGTTTTACAGAGTTATGAAATTTTCTAAATGAAACTTAAACACAGTCTATGAGACTCCCCTCATTTTACAGGAACACAGGCTTAACAAGGTGCACAAGGGTATCAGCTGATAAGTAGGGACCCTCGATGGGACACAGGCTCTCTACCTAGACTCTGACCTTGTCTCTTTACGTGATTCTAGGAAGTCCATGTTAACTTTAGAAAGTTCAACTACAGTTGACACTTGAACAACACAAGTTTGAACTGCCCAGGTCCATTTATACATGGATATTTTTCAAAAAGTAGTCCTTTGTGTCCAAGGTTTTTATATCTGTGAATTCAACCAAATGCAAATAGGAAATAGTATTTTCACGTTCCAAACAGCAATTTCTCAATCTTGGATTCCCTACCAGATCAAAAATACTGTATTGGATCTGTGGTTGATTGAATCTCAGATACCAAAGGCCAACTGTAGAGTCAAGGCCAACTATAAAGTCTAAAGTTATACATGGATTTTTGACTACACGGAAGCTGGTGCCTCTTACCCCAGAGTTGTTCAAGGGTCAACTATATATGGAATGAGAGGGAGGTTTAGGAGAAAGAAAAAGAAAATTCAGTGACACTGAGGATTTTTCCACTGTTTCAGGCATTTTGTTCTTCAAAGTACAGTAGTCCCCCCATTATCTGTCGTGGACACGTTCCAAGACCCCCAGTGGATGCCTGAAATCTTCAACAGTACCGAACTCTATGTATATTGTTTTTTCCTATACATGCATACCCGTGATAAAGTTCAGTTTATAAATTAGGCACAGCAAGAGAGTAACAGCAATAACTAATTATAAAATAGGATACTTATAACTATACTGTAATAAAAGTTATGTGAGTGTGAACTTTTTCTCCTCTCTCTCTCTCTCTGATAACCAGTCTGATAACCCATCTGGCTATTAGGTGACTAATTGGTAGGGAGCATATACAGCATGGATACACTTGACAAAGGAATGAGTCACATCCCAGGCAGTATAAAGCTAGACGGCTTAAGATTTCATTGCGCTACTCAGAACGGGTCACAATTTAAAACTTATAAATTGTTAATTTCTGGAATTTCCTCTAATATTTTTGGACTATGGTTGACCACGAGTAACTGAAACTGTAGAAAGTGAAACCACAGATAAGGGGGGATTACTAGATGTGTAAGATTGGAGACATAACTGCTCTTCTTTCTGCTGGTCTCCGTGCTCATGTACCTTTCTCAGTGTCATCATCTCACCATATTTAGTATGATTCCAGCATTTCAAAATCCTTATCTTTGGTACAACCTGGCTGTAAAGCACAAGCCAGCCATTCATCTGGAACTCACCCAGAGAAGCCATGATTTGTTCCAATACTAAAAGAAAAACCTGGCTTTTATTATTTTTTTAAAATATACTTTATTTGGAAATATTATTTACCTTTTTTCTTTCTTTTTTAGCACTTGAAAATCAAACAATGTTTTCATGGAAAATATAACCAAGGGAGTAACTCAAAGTACATATGGTCAAGTAAGAGTCAAGGGTGAGTTTCTAAATATTTCTAACGCTCTTTTTTTTGTATCTTCAAAATGTAGAAAAAATATACCAGTATTTCTTAAGAAAGCCTGATATGAACACAGTGGAGCATAGTAGGGACTTAGCATTTTATTTATATCTTTATTAAATATGCTTATTTTCACTGAAGATTTGGATCAGTTACCCAAGAATCTTAGTGAAGGCTTTTCTCATCTCCTCCAGTTCGTCTGCAATTAAAAAATAAAAAATTGTCTACGGCCATGAATGTGCTCGATCTGGTCTGATCTCAGAAGCTAAGCAGGGTTGGGCCTGGTTAATACTTGAATGGGAGACCACCTAGGAATACCAGGTGCTATAGGTATTAAAATATAATAATAATAAATAAATAAAATCAAGGCTTTTAATCAGAGTTTTATTTGGGAGGCTCAAATTTTACAGACCAATACAAAATTACTAATGTAAAAATAGCTGAGTCAATAATCGACAGGCTAAAAAAGTAATAAAAATTTGGTGGCTATATAAGATGCAACAAAAAAAATGTAAGAATATAAAAGTATAGGAAAAATATTGTCACTATTAGCATATTGCTCTTTTTTTGAGTTATCTCATAAGTTGATAATAGTAAGACCAGGACTAAAGCTCATTTTACTTAGAACTTGTCTCCTGTGAACCTGGCCCTTGTCGTTTCTTGAACCATTTTTTTGTCTGTGTTCCCCAAGTCTAGTTTTCATAGTTGATTTCATGAATCTGCTCAAAGATCATCTGTATGTGAAAAAATAATATTTTCATGATATTTAAGAAATCTACTTTCTGCACCAGAAGCACAGGTATTTATGGAGTAGCAGCAGCACTTTGGATTACTTAAAAGTCAGAAGGCCTATTTCTCAAGACAAATGTATCTTCAGGAAAAAAAAAATTATACTGAAGAATTTGGTAACATTTAGTTGTGCCAAACTTTTGCCCCTGTGGCCTTTTAAAAGCAAATATCTGCCTTCTGGAAAGTATTGAAATACAGCTGTCAGTGTTTAGAGGATAGTAAAACGTATTTAGTATCTGAACTTATACTAGCTGTGCCCTTTCGTCCAGTGAATATTGAGGCAGTTGGTAGAGAATTTCTTAGGCTCAGGACACCAGCATTCTCTTCCCAGGTCTATGGCTGGCTGAATAATCTTAAATACATCACTTAATTTTTACATGTTTTCTCATCTGTAGAATAGAAATAATTCCACTTTTCTCACAGAAATACTGAGATGACTAAGAAAAGAATGTTGGTAAAGCCTATTTAGTTCCTTCAAGGGAAATTCTAGATAAATACGTGGAATTCTTTAAGGCTGTCTGGATCAGAAGAGGAATGATTATTTGGTTCCTAAAGTTGAGTCATATTTTAATGATATGGCACAACCTAAAAACCACCAAGTGCTTATTAAATCTTTGTCCTTTTTTTTAGTTATCCACAAAATTTGAAAATAACATATTTATCTTTCCCTGACAAAGGTAACACATGTTTATGCATGGACATTTCATAAAATGCTATTCAGTTCAATAATCACTGTAAGTACCATAATCATTCATATATGATTCCTTATATTGCAGTACTATCTGGGAAGATACAGTCTGAGTTTTCTTTTTAAACAGTGAATGTAAAAAAATCAACAATAATTCCATTTATTACAAAATTTATAATGTATGTCACTGTGATCTATTCTTTACATAGCTCAAAGGAGCTGAGTGATTATCACAAATAAGCATTATCTTTCTGGGTGGTCTATTATTTTGAGTCATCCTTGAGAAAGATTTTTTAAAAACATATTTGCAGAAGATGGGAATGTTCTCACTTCTAAAGTTGTTATGACAGCCAATAATAAACATGTATTTGCATTCAAAAACTAATTTATCCAAGCCATATGAAATTTCAAACTCTTTGATGCTCACTAGGACATACAATGTCTCCAGGTGAGGTAAGAGTACTTTAAAGTGTCTGCTCATCAAGACAGTGAGGGAAGGGACAAGCAGAGGAGGGACAAATGAATACAACTAGACATCAGAAGAAGGGAAAGACTAAAGCACCTGAGGTTTGTTCTCTCTAATGAGAGAAGGGGCTAACGATGTACACAGAATGCAGACTATGACCAAACTACAAGATAGGGGCAAGGCCATAATCTTAGCAATTGCTCAATAAATACTTGTTCAGTTTTAGGAGTGAGTCATGCCAGGAATAAAAAAGGGAGACATGGAATTTGGACAAGAGCATCAGTACAGCCTTTCAGCATCCAGAACAGATAGGAAGATCCACACAACAGGGCAACTGATAATTAAGAGTCCCTACAGGGCAGCTCAGTCTGTCCTCTCCCAGATATATGTGCACATCTCTTAAGAAGTGCAAGTCATCTCTGACAGAAAGTTTTACTCTGAGATGCTTGCTGGTGGGGTTGTGTGCTGCTGTTCTCAGTTCTCAAATTGTTACGTCAACAAATATTAAAAACCTGTTACACTTTTAAAATCACCCTCTTATTTTTGTGAAGGTGGAAATAATGTAAAATGACTCTTTGTAGTTCATAGCCTCTTTTTTAGTCAAAAACAAGCACTAGTGATATGTTAATGAGATGTCTAAGCTTTAGCTGAAGAAGATGCATGTTGACATCTTTATTTTATTTTTTCTTATTTTCTAGAACTTGGGATTTTTGGGGGGTATAGAACTTCACAGATTATTATTTTCTTATCTCTGTCATTCTCCCACCTCCTTTCTTTCTCTTAAATAAATTTTCTGGGAGATTTCTTTAGCTTTATCTTCTAGCCTTTCTGTTGAAAATTTGGTCATATTTTTGATTTCCAAGAGCTTTTGGTTGTTCTCTGATGGTTTCTTCCATAGAAACATGTTCTTGTGTTTCGTGGATGTGAGAGCTTCTTTTCTCTCTTTATATATTGTTTAAAGTTTTCTTCCTCTCCTGACATCATGTTGGTTTACTGTCTGCTGCTTTTCTTGCAGAGTTATTTAGTATGCATTTTAGAATCTCACTTAATCCTCCCAGTTTTCAATAAACCGTCCTATCTAGCCTCAGCTTTGTTTAGGCCAAGTGAGTTCAGAGCCTGTCACTAAGACTTTCTTCAAGAACCTTCTTCTCAGAATGTCTTCTAACCCACTGTCCTCTCACACTGGCATGAAACGGGTTGTTACTCCCTGTCTTATACTTGATGCCTCCTGGGACTGGTTTCTGTACTATAGAAGTTTACAAAGAACACTGCACTCTGTGGGTGCCTTAACCTTACATATCTCTATCCAGATTTAATCGTGACTTTTTCCTTGACAAAAGAAAGAAAGAGCCCTAGGTGATTTTTTGGAGGCTGGATGACTACTGATAGTTTTTCCCTATCAGAGTGGGTCATCTACCCCTTCCCAAGGGTTAGATGCACATTGTCTCAACTCAGACCCGTGCCCCTGGGGGCAGTTTAGGATTTCCATTGTAACTCATTCCTTCCTGAAGTTAATGAAAGCCCCCTGCCCCGCTTCTCCGTGTTCTATGAGAAACAGTGTCCCCTCCACGGGTTATCTAGTCCCAAATCATTGTTTAGGCCCTAGAGTTTTCAACTTAAAAAAAAAAGGAATCTAAATGCTCTGTCCTCAACATAATATAATAAGAGTTATAAAAAACCATTTTGAAAGTTTTACCACATTATGTTGAAACAAACCATGGAGATGTATTCACCCTGTGTTCATTTGTATTCACACTAGCTGAAACAATCCAGAATGAAGTACTTATTCGTATAATATGGATAGATTCATATTTCCAGTAAATAATAATGAAATAAAATTTACAATATTGGTAATATAAACCTGAAATTTGGAGTAGATGAGATTGAAACACCTCAGTAACAACGACATTTAGCGTAATTATTGTCACCATCTTTTTTCTGATGTTGTACTGTTTGTGAGTGCTAAAATGTCTTAGAAAAAGACAGCTATCATTGGGGGCAATGTACCCTATTAATGTATGTGAACCAATAGGTGACTTCACTGTCCTTTGCCCCAAATATTGTGACAAGTTCTTGGTGGGAGAGTTCATTAATACCTTACCCACTAACAGTCCTGCTGTTGAAAAATCGCTGATTGAATCTTTAATTCCTCTTCATTTTCACTTAGTATAAGTCTTCTATCATTCATTTGAAGTCTTACGAGGTTGAATTTCATCATCTTGTTATTCAACAATGTGTCATCACTTCACCTTATAAGAATTTATAGAGATTTTATACACGTGATGATATCAAGCTTGGAGTTAAAAAGAGATATTACTATCCATTTAATAGATGCATAGACATCATTCGCTCTTTCACCAAAAGAATCAGTTCCAAGAAATGTATCTCTCTGCTTAGAATATCTAGCTTACCTTTCAGTAAAATCGAGTAGGTTACTACTTGCTAGTAACAACACATTTACTAACATGCAGGTAGAAAACAAAACACCTCTTTTTAATTATAAAGGAAATACTCTTAAAAGATGGTGACTTTTTAAAAGATTGTGTCCAAATTGGAGATTTATCTGAGAGTGAGAACAAAATACAAGACCAATGCCCCCAATTTTTTCCATTTACCCGTAGCTCTACGGACGACAGGCAGACTTTTAAATCAGCTCTGTACAGACTGTAGAGTTTATGGGAAAAGAAACAATGGGGCAACTGACAGGCTAGTGGGACAGAGAATGATGATGAGCTGGAGCAGGGCCCTTAAAGGATTCAATGAGATTTTTATATTGAATGTGTCTGGCAAAAGCTAGCGATGAACAGATGATGAGCTCATATAGCTCCTGCCTTAAGGAAAGCAGATGCCTTAGATATGAATAAGCAGGAAAGTCTTCAGTTTGGTCAGCAGAGCCTAGAAAGGATAATCCAAGACCCTGGCTAAAATCTTTAAGATGTCCCCCTGTAGAACATGTTTTTTTTTTCTTGATATTTTGGTTTGTTTTTAAGAATCACAAAATTAATCCAGTTGCTTGCATGCGGTACACCTTTAAGAAATCCCTTTGCATTCCTCTATAAATTCTTCAGTTCAGGTTCTGGATAATATCTCCCATAATCAATATAGCAAAATTGTATTATTATCAAAGTGAAAGTAAAAAATGTATTTGCTATTTTCAGTTTTCCAAAATTATTGCTTTTTAAAAAAAGTTTGTATTTAAAAAATCTTCATTCTCTAGGACAGAAATCCACAACCTTTTTGGTCACCATGGACCAGTGCTCCTATGAGATGCCTGATGATCTGAGGTAGAGCTGAGATGATCTGAAGTAGAGCTGAGGTGGTGATGCTAGCGCTGGGGAGCGGCTGCAAATACAGATGAAGCTTCACTTACTTGCCTGCCACTCACCTCCTGCTGCGTGGCCCAGTTCCTAACAGGCCGCTGCCTGCCTGGGGGTTGGGGACCCCAGCTCTAAGAGTACAAAACAAGTATGGTCCTCCAAAATGTTGCATTTATGTTAAACAACCAATATCATAATTAGTATTTTTTCCAGAAGTCAAATTCTTAAATCTTTATGCAAAATTTTGAACATAAAAACATTTACATCCTTATTTACCATCTTCCCAGCTTCTATTTTCGCTTAAATATATTTGCCTTTGACCACAATCTTCTTCACTAAGCGTTTCTCCAAAACTCATAGGTGAATAGTTTCTTAGCTTTCTGACTGATGCTGTATTTAAAAATCTGTATTTATTCTGAGTCAGTTTACAATACCTTAAAAACAAGCAAGAAAAAGAAAGTAGGGAGGGAATAATTGGAGAGGAAAGAACAAAAAAACACTCAGTTACCCACATGTTGAATTTTTCTATGCTTTGATTAAATGCCTAATCCTAAAAGGGGTGTGGTATGACCTGTTTTTTGAACCAGTCATTAGGAGGTGCTCACAGTTTAGAACAAACTCTTCACATCTTTAAAGCTACTTACCATCTAGTTTTTATGTTTTGTAGAACTTATCTTTAATTTTAGAAATTTTACTTCGCTGGAATTTAAAACTTGTAAAAATTGTCAAGCTGACAGCTCTAAAAACTGAAGTCATCCAATTAGTCCAAAAAACAAAAGTTTCTGTGGCATCTATCATGGAACACCAATAGGCTTACAGACAAACACATCAGGTTAAAAGGAAAACACATGTTGGAGAAGGAACAACTTCTCATATACTTTGCCTTCACAGAGACATAATTGATGATAATTGGTATAAGGCAGTGGTCTTCAGGAAGTTTTCCCAAGGTTATATCTAATTTTGTAAAATAGAAGGTTATATATGTATCTGGAATGTTTCTCCTGGGTAGAGTCTACTTTCATAAGGCACTTTCATAGCTGTTTATTATGGACACCATTCAAAATGTTAACTATCCATTATGTTTCTGCCATTATTGCTTTTTTATTTGCCATAACAGACCCACATGGGCTACTTGACAAATGTTTGGCACAAATATGAACATGCATGGAACAAAGACTAAGGACAAGTAAAGCTACCAGGAATGCTTGGTAGATGAGGTTTCCATTGTCGCTGGGGCACTGTTTTGAGGAAAGGCTTTTAGTCTAATTATTTGTA